TTCCCTTGCTCTCCAGGCGGGCTCTTGACTGCTGAACTTGAGATGTATTCCCGTGCTCTCCAGGTGGGCTCCTGACTGCTAAACTTGAAATGTATTCCCATGCTCTCTAGGCGGGCTCCTGACTGCTAATCATGCCACCCTTTTTAGGAACACATTGAACTGGGCTAACCCAGCTACTGTCAGAAATTGGGAAAATGATTCCCGCATCTAACCACTTGATTACTTCTTTCTTCACCACCTCCTTCATATTGAGGTTCAGCCTTCTTTGGTGTTCCTTGGAAGGTTTGTGTCCTTCTTCCAGTAGAATTTTGTGCATACAGTAGGCGGGGCTGATCCCCTTTATGTCTGCCATGGTCCACCCAATGGCAGTCTTGCACTCCTTTAGTACCTGCAATAGTTGCTGAGCCTGCACATCTAACAAACTAGATGAGATAATAACAGGTAATGTGGAGTTAGGTCCAAGAAATTCATACCTGAGATGGGCGGGCAATGGCTTCAATTCCAGCTTTGGTGGTTCTTCGATGGATGGCTTGGCTGGAGGAGTTTCTCGATTTTCCAAGTGCAATGGTTCAAACTCTAGGGTCCTATCCCAGAACCCTCTACCCTCTAACGCCAACACCCATTCCGCCAGATCCTCTCCATTTACCTCATCCAAATTCATTAGACATGCAGCAAGGGGGTCCTCAATAGTCAGCCTTTCATCGTCAGTCTCTACAATTACATCCACGGCATCAATAAGAGAGCAATTGGCGAACTCACTTGGTCGATTCATAGATTTCTGCACATTGAATGTTATTTCTCATCGTTCAGCCTCATCTTAAGTTCCCCAGTATCACAATCAATTAGAGCTCTTCCCGTAGCCAGGAACGGTCTTCCCAAAATGATGGGAATCTCTTCATCCACCTTACAATCTAGGATTACAAAATCTGCATGGAACACAAATTTCCCTACCTGAATCAGTACATCATCTAGAATTCCAAAGGGTCATTTCACCGTCCTGTCGGCTGGCTGCAACAACATAGAGGTGGGTCTAGCTCTTCCAATGTCCAACCTCTTATAAATTGCTAGGGGCATAAGATTGATGCTGGCCCCTAGATCACACAGTGCCTTAGCAAAAGCAAAATTGCCAATAGTGCATGGAATTGTAAAGCTCCCTGGATCAGACAGCTTTTCCGCAATTGGTCTAGTCACCACTGCACTACATGTCTGAGTAAGAGTAACTGTGGCCAAGTCTTGAAAATCAAACTTTCGGGACATCAAGTCCTTCATCATTTTTGCATACCCAGGCATCTCCTTCAAAGCTTCAATCAATGGTATATTTACCTGGATTTGCTTCAGCATGTCAAAGAACTTCTTGTATTGCTCCTCCTTTTTGTACTTAGCCAGCCTCTGGGGGAAGGGTGCAGGGGGTCTCTTCTTCCCAATCAATTGGGACTGATCTTTATCAGCTGCTACATCAACTACTGGCTCCTGTACTGTTTCCGCTTCTTTCTCGGTCTCATTCTGAATGCTATTTTCTTCTTGAGCAGGCTGGACTGTCACCTCTGTCAGTTTCGTTGATTCATCCAGCTCGATGGGCACTGGTATGAGTGTCTCAGCCTGTCTAGCTTCTCGAGCCCTTTCTTGCTCTACATCCAGATCTCTGCCATTACGTAGGCTCACCGCCATCAGCTGCTTCGGTCCCTGATCTTTTGGGTTTATCTGGGTGTCTGCAGGTAGTGTCCCATGAGGACGATTGTTCAGAGACATCGAAATTTGGCCCACCTGTACCTCAATATTTTTGATTGCTGCATCATGTGCATCGACTCTCTCATTAATTTTTGCATTAGACCCAATAACCTGCTGCATCATTGCTTCAAGTCTAGCAAACCCATCTTCCTGCCTTCCACCATGCTGCTGCTGAGGTGGGTGATACCCCTGCTGCTGATTCTGATTATTATATCCCTGTGGTCGTGGGTAAGGTGCCATATTGTTGGGGGGTCTCATACCTCCCATGTTCCCGGTGTTGAACTGTGGCTGTGCTGGCCTGTACTGCTGATTTTGTTGACCCCAATTCTGACCACCCTGTCTCTGGCCGCCATAATTAGACACATAGTTCATGTCTTCAGGGTAGTGATGATGATCGTGTTCTGCATTCCACTGATTACCAACTGGCTGACTAATGCAAGATGCGCACAAGCCCCCATTAGTAGTATCAACAATATGTACCTGCTGTTTCTGCCCTGACTCTTCCACCTTTTTGGTGAGTATGCTCATCTGTGTCAATAAGGTGGCCATGTTTTCAGCCATAGAATTGGATGGATCTAAAGGCACTGAGTGCACCACTGGAGTGATGGGTGCACCTCTGGTTACCCAGCCCGAATTCTGTGCCATCTTGTCAAGCAGACTCTGGCCCTCTCTCCATGTTTTGCTCAAGAATGCCCCACCAGCTGAAGCATCAACAATGTTCTTTACGCTATCTGACAATCCCATGTAGAACCGCTGCCCCAACATTAGATCTGGAACACCATGGTGTGGACATATGACCAGCATCCCTTTAAAACGCTCCCATGTTTCATGCAAAGTCTCCATCGGTCTCTGTTTAAAGCTCAAAATCTCATCAATTTGTTGAGCAGTTTTGTTGGGTGGATGGAACTTGTTGTGAAATTGCTTGACCAGCTCATCCCACGTTGCTATAGAATTTATGGGGAGTGAATTCAGCCAAGTCTGGGCAGCTCCTGTCACTGAGAATGGAAACAATAACAGTTTGATTGCTTCCGGAGTTACATTGGGTTGCCTTTGGGTTTTGCAGATAGACAGGAAATTCTTTAAGTGCTGCTGAGGATCTTCAACTTGTGACCCCGAAAATAGTCCCTTATTCTGCAACAAGTGCAGCATGTTATTCGTGATTTGGAATGACTCAGCCTGTATCTGCGGGACTACTATCGCTGTGGATAGATTCTCAGCTGTGGGCTGTGCCCAGTCATAGAGAGCAGCCTCTGGCGCTGGCGCTATTGGTGCTGCTGGGTTTTCCTGGTTATCTCCCATGTTTGTTTCGAATTGTGCAGTTGTTGGTTGTTGTTTGTTTTGTCGGTTGGCCCGATTCAAAGCCCTGAAAAATTTCTCGGGATCTGATAATGCTTCTAATACTTCACCAGATCTCGATGAGTTTCTAGGCATGCACCTGTGTAACCGAGTCAACAAACGTTAAAATTTCAATGTAAAAATTGGGTATAGAGAAAACTGACTACACTAAGAATTTTTGTACTTCTTTCAATTGTAATTGATAACACCGTTAATTCCCCGGCAACGGCGCCAAAATTTGATCACGCCCAACTATGCCTTATAAAAAGGACAATGCGGTCGTTGCAAATATAATCCGGTTTACAAGTCCGGAGTCGAATCCCACAGAGAATTAACCTATCAATTACCTTTGTTGGAATCACTAAATTCTTTATAATCAACTTCCCCAAACGTTGTAAACAATAGTTGATGGTATTTCTACTAACTAAGATTGAAAGTAAATAAACAGCTGTAAACTAAATATGCTTGGGTTGTAAACAATAATGAGAAGGTTCTAAGGTAGTGATTTCCCCTATTGATGGAATCCCTTCCGGTTATGTTTCATATAGATTCACCAAAATATCTCTATCAATCATGAGCACTCTTTTTACCGTAAATCTCTCCCGAGTAATCGCGATAATTTACTAGACGCACTCTCCCGAGATACGCTAGCTGACTTTGTTTATTACAGCTCACTTTAGATTGCACCCAAGGCTTCGTTATCCCTAATCCCGCCTTTAAACCCGCAGTTATAGATCCCTCTTATACTTTGGGAGTGGTGTTGTTCAACAATTACCTAAATATGCACTCTCTCCCGAGTTATGCACACTAAATAGGCACAGCTAATTGAGGATCCTGTCAATTAACTACAATAAACACGTAATTGAACAAATAGAGATTAACCGGTAAACTATATGAACATAATCAAGAAGTTCATCCTTCAATAGGTTCCATCAAAACCTTAGACTAAAGTATTTAGCTACTCATAACAACTTGAAGATAATCTACGAAAATATTTATCATGTAAAATTGCAAGAAACAGAAGAGAATAAAGAACTATGATGTTTTGGGTGATCTCTCACACTTGTGTTTCTTGCCCAAGAACTCTCTAAAACCAATCTGACCTAATGAGACCGAAATCCTACTTTTTATAAGGGTTTTACACCAATTTTTCCCGGCTTGACAATCCTGCCCCTGGTTAGTTCGCGTTCTGCCGCGGTCCCACCGCGGTTACGCCGGGACCGCGGCCAAAAAGGGTCTCTGAATCTTCATCTCTACTCTGCCGCGGTCCTACCGCGGTTACGGTCTGACCGCGGCAGGCCAACTTTTGCCTTCCTTTGACTTTTCACTTGGTGCATTTCTTGGGCATTGTTTGATTGACCTCCTTTTCTCCGTAATTGATCCCAATCTTGCTCCATCGACTTATTTCTTTGGATATAACCTGCAAAGCATGAAAAGCACTAATCAGAGCATTTGGTTATCACTTTTTACAACAAAGGTATACAAAAATGTGGTTCTTTAGGGTCTAATTATAGTCTAATTGACCTATTATCAATAGACATGTAATTTTTTCCCCACTATTTAGTACATTTTTAATTTTAACTTCAAGTATCGAAGTTTCTATGTTGTTGATGATGACCCTATGCAGGATTTGAGTCCAACGAACTGCTTATTAATAAATTAAGTAAGTTTAAATTTTTTAGAGCATAAAACTCAAGAAATGAATTAAATGAATGAGATCTGGCGTATAGTACTCAATCACATACTTAAATTGTGATCCATAAATAGATTACAAGTAAAGATAATTCTAGTAAAAAATTTATGTTAGAAAGAATTCCTTCCATATCCTTAAGTATGATACGATTAAGAAAATCTCTTGTACCATTATTTATACATCATGTGGTTCCCCAAATATTTCATCCAAGAAGCAAAAATAAAAAGATCAACAAGTTCTTATCATGGCATCGTCATCATCAGCAACAACTGGAGAGAAGAAGATGTTGACATTGAAGACCTGTGATAACAAAGAATTTTCTGTTGCGGAATCTTTGGTCTTACAGTCTGAACTTATTAAGACCATGGTGAAAGAGGAACGCGTTTCTAGCATCCCATTACCTACCATCAAAAGCAAGACGCTGGTTAAAATCATTGAATACCTCAAGAAGCATGCGGAGCTCACTGCTACCTCGAACAAAGAAGACTTCAAAAATTTCCAGAAAGAGTTTGTGAATGTTGTTTTAGAGGAACTGCTTGACCTAACTGTGGCAGTAAATTATTTGAAAATCAATGGTTTGCTGGAATTCTGTTGCCAGGCTGTGGCTGACAGAATAAAAAACAAGAGCGTTGAGGCTGTTCGAAAGATTTTTCGAATTGAAAGTGATTTCACCCCAGAGGAAGAGGCAGAGTTTAGGAGGGAAACTCCTTGGGCCTTTGAAGGCGACCTTGATGATACCACCAACTAGGGTTTTATGGTAGTTAAGGAAACATTTATATTTAATCTGAATAATATATCCTATAGAATTGATTTCTTTTATGTACCGATTTGGTGGATATGTGTTTGATTTTTGGAATAAAGCTTTATGCTAACAAAAAGGTAGAAACGAAAATACTATCTGATATAGTGAAGGGTGTTTGATAGTATTTATCTATTCCTCAAAAACTTTGTATTCGATCATATATATGGTATCTATAGCTACTTCTGTCTTCGTGTTGGTTCGAGTGATATTTGAAACTAGTCATGATAGATTTCTTTCTGGTATCAATCAAGCTAATATCATTTGAATTTTGAAGAAAAAGAAATTATGCTAATAAAAGAAAATTCATAAATAATTTCTTAGTGAAGGATGGTTAAAAATATTCAAGTCCAGAAAACCTTTGATATGTTCAGTATTTTCATGTTGGTTCGATTGATATATTTGAAGTAGCTATCATTTGATAATGATTAAGAAATAATCAGATATATCCTTGCTCTCTTCTATATGTGACGATATTGGTTTAAATATAATCTCGTTTATACACTACTTGATCACCAATTATATTTTACTAACTTGATTTAGCAATGAATAAAATCAAAAACAGATCCAATTATCCAAAAACTGAATTATTAAGTTTTTTTTTTGACACATAAGTGTCAACATATCAGGGACGGCTTGACATAATATGGGGCCTAAGGCGAAAATAAAAAATGAGGCCTTAAATTTTTTAAATTATTTTTTCTCTAATTTATCGGAATCTACAGAAGTTATAATCGGTTTTAATTGTTGCCAATGTCTAACCAATTTGTTAAATCTCGCTTGTGTTATCATGTTGAAATTGATTGATTTAGTTTTGAAAAACTTTTTTAACCGAGGCAATTGATATAAAAATTATTAACGGTAATTGAATTAACACTTGTTACCTGATTAATTACTGATTAATTCTTAAAAATGCAAAGTCAAATCCTAAATGCAAATGCAACGTATTTTTGTATTTTAATTAAACAAAATTAACATGCGCAGACAAATGCAAACGATAACAAAAATGCTACAAAAATCCACGAAATCGCACACAATGGAAAAAATTATTTTGTTTTGAATTTGTGGGAGTAATTCATATAGGGCAAAAATCACGTGCTCACAGCTGCCCCTCTTTGCTCGAAAACATGAAGAGTTTTCGTGCAAAGATAAGTGAGCGGAAACGAGCGATTTTTGCCCGTTCGAATATTCCGTATGAAGCATTTTTGAAAAGTTTGACCGCACCCTGCTTCTGAGGTTGCCTACATATCCTTGGCTAAAAAGGAATCATGTCAGTGTAGTTCGGGAAGGTCTGGTAGCTGGGACTACCATGAAGCTGTGGTTTCACTGTTGCTGCTGCTGCTGCTGCTTACTGAACCCCCTTATTATACTATGATAAAATAAAAGAAGCTAGACTAAACTATGATCTATGAATTATATAAGCCCTATCTATTTCTTCAAACTTGATCTTGTGATCCTTGTTGCCTCGTTGACTTGTATTCTCCCGGTGAAATTCCTTTGTTACCGACTTGACTTATAATCTGAGATGTTTTCCCTTTCTCCAGGGGGACGCCTGATTGCTGAACTCGAATTGTACTTTGAGATGCTTTCCCTTTCTCCAGGTGGACGCCTGACTACTGAACTGTATTTTGAGATGTTGCCCCTTTCTCCAGGTGGACACCTGACTGCTGAACTTGAATTGTATTCCCTTGCTCTCCAGGCGGGCTCCTGACTGCTGAACTTGAAATGTATTCCCATGCTCTCCAGGCGGGCTCCTGACTGCTAAACTTGAAATGTATTCCCATGCTATCCAGGCGGGCTCCTGATTGCTGAACTTGAATGTATTCCCATGCTATCCAGGCGGGCTCCTGACTGACTAGAACCTTGAAATGTATTCCCATGCTCGTCCAGGCGGGCTCCTGACTGTTGAACTTGAAATGTATTCCCATGCTCTCCAGGCGGGCTCCTGACTGCTGAACTTGAAATGTATTCCTCTGTTCTCCAGGCGGGCTCCTGACTTCAACAAAAATGGACAAAAACAAAGAAAATCTCTTGCCCCAGTTTGGTGACTGGGCGTCATATTACCAGATATTAACAAGAATTGGAAAACTGAAACTTGAATTGTAATACCTCTGTTCTCCATGCGGGCCCCTGATTGCTGAAACTTGAAATGTATGCCTCTGTTCTCCAGGCGGGCTCCTGATTGCTGAAGCTTGAAATGTGTTCCCTTGTTCTCCAGGTGGGCTCCTGATTGCTGAACTTGAAATGTGTTCCCTTGTTCTCCAGGTGGGCTCCTGATACAACAAAACAAACAAAGAAAATTTTCTGCCCCAGTTTGGTGACTTTGTGCAACATGTTATCAGATATTAAAAGCTAAAATTGGAATTGCACTTCCCTTGTTCTCCAGGTGGGCGCCTGACTGCTGAAACTTGAAAAGTATTCCCTTGTTCTTCAGGTGGGCGCCTGATTGCTAAAATTGAAAAGTATTCCCTTGTTCTTCAGGTGGGCGCCTGATTGCTGAAATTGAAAAGTATTCCCTTGTTCT